CCCCATGAGCAAAATTCAGCCCTGCTACCTCTCTGCTAATTTCCTTGAAGTTGTCCCAGGGGTTAATCTATTTTGCTTTCTAGAATGAGCACTGAAGATGCACCTTGAAAAGCTAAAGGACTCACCCTGGCCCTGCAGGATGGAGAGATGTAGTAGTAATTCCCAGAATCACCCAGCTTGATGCGGTGTTTGCAAGTTCGGGAAAGGCCACTCAGAGCACATTTCCTGCAGAGAGAAAGGAAAGCAATGCTTCAAGAAATGACAGCTCCCAGGAGGAACAGAAACTGATGACAGTCAGCTCCCAGGCCTAGTTCAGGCTGAGACCAAAAGCAAAAGAGTCAATGTTCCCTGCTTCTGGGGACAAGTAAACAAAAGCCTCAGTAGGGGCAAGCACGGGTGGCCTCTGACAACTAGATTTTCATTGGCACCAAAAGTAGTACAATGCCCAGGTGAACCAATACAGGACCCTCCATACCAAGGCTTCTTCTACCATAGTCTGAACCTAGAAGTGCATGCAGAATAGTTGGAAGGTAGGATGAAGCACAATGTAATGAGTTCTGCCTGTTCTCTATACCCCCTCCATGAGCTGCGCACTGGAAGTTAGCTCAGTATTACATAAAGGAACCTTGGAGCACTTATGCCTCGTGACTTCTGGCTGGACCCTCTTTGCTCAGGCCTCTGTATGTCAGCAATCCACCCTGTCCCAGAGGACAAAATTAGCATGAGTCAACAGAGTCAGGGACAAGCCCACACGCTCACAGTTACATCCCATTTTAGTTACCTGGGCTCAGACAGGGCCCAAAACACTCCATTTCTGAAGACTCAACACTGAGTTAATGTGTCGTACTACTTTATTATGACAACCAGACTGGCGAGTTTTGAAAACATATCTGTTCAGTAGTGTAAAGACCTGGATAGACCAGGCTGGCTCGAGGCCATCTGGCCTGCCTTGGCTGCCTTTTGCAAAATCTTTCTACTCCCCTCTCCACAATCTCCAACCTCCTCCTGAGCATGGTAAAAAAACAGAAGCCTCCCCACTAAGTTGCTCTCAACATCTTCCTGGCTTTTCCCTGTCCTGTTCTCTAAAGCTATAAGTCCTTGTCCTACTTTTCCCAGCACTAGGAATGTCTCTGTCTAGATTGCTCCTTTAAAGTTTTTCCCAAACCAATGACCAGATTCTGATCTCAACTGTGTTTGGTAGGAGCCTCAGTAACTCTGCTCTTCCCCATGATACAGTTCAGCTCAGAACCATTATTCAGACAAGGCATTCACTAAAATCAAAGGGATTTTGCCTGAATTCCCTAATTCTCTCTTCATAGGTACCTGCACTCTGGTGGGGGACTGAACCCAGTTTCAACACACAAAGAACTCCAGTATTTGATTTAAAAAGAACCAACCCCACCATCCGGAGACAGCAGCAGGCTGATAACCTCTTAGGTGGCTCAGCCTTATAGCAGGACCACAGAACAGACTGGGCTTGTCTACACTGGGGAGCTTCTACCAACGAAAGATCCAGCAGTAGACAGAGTAGCCATGAGAACATTGCTGGAGCGTGAGCATGCCCAATGGCTGTGGATTGCTCCGTGTGGCTTGTCCTGATTTACACTACTCCACTGAATTAACTACTCCAGCACAGTGCAAAGCACACTCTGAGAAAGCAGGGCTGCTAAAGAGACCGCAGCAGGTGCCATCTGCTCCCTGCCAGGCAGACGCAAAAGTTTTCTCTGGCTTGCACAGATATGCTTCTTTGCTAGCAGAAATTTGAGAGTTGGCTGCCGTATAGCCGCTCTACAAGTGGCTGAACTCTTAAGTTCTGTGGTGCAGTGCAGACCAGGTCTGTGCCAGCATCCTGCATGTAGATGGAGCTCCTCATCTTTCCCCAGGCATCCCCTTTTCCACTGAGTGCATCATTCCTCTGTTGTCCTTTGAGGCAGGGTTTTCAAGGACCTTATTCCACTGGAATCCCTAGCTCAGAATAAGTCCATGGCATCGTGCAAATGCACCATACATATGTTATAATATTATCTTCTACCTATTAACAACTTACCTCAAAAAGTGAAGATGAAAGGCTGAAAAATTAAACCTCCTCTGTAACTCAACTGAGGCCACTAGGAGCCTGTTGGGGGGGAGAGGAGCGGGAATTGCTGTGTAACCTCATAGTTTAGCCTCTTCTGCCTTGAACAGGGACAGAGACCCTCCAGTTTCACTCAGGCTCCACTGAGAAGGGATCTTGGGAGACAATGAATTTACAGTCCCACATAGTCCCTTTTAATCAGCTTAGGCCAGGTTCAAAGACCACTGAAGTGAATGGCAGCCTTCCCAATGACTTCAGTGGTCTTTGGCCTAAGCCTGTGATGTGTTACTGAAAAGAGGGGGTCTTCAGAACATCAGAGGAGACTCCAGGCAGAAAATGGGGGTCCAATAGGGACAGACCAGAGCCCAGGACAACCAGCAGGGGCCACTCCCTGGACATGCCAGTGTCCCAATTTTCTTTCAGCTGTGTTCAGTCCTTTGTGGAAGGACATCTGCTTCCAGCTCCTGCACAACCATCCTAAAGGGGTGTTTCCATCCTCACTCAGTGTAGGTAAAGTAGGGATTTCCTAGTATTTTTCAGCACTTAACCACCATCTCGCTCCTCAGAGTTCCTTCAACATCTCTTGCCTGGCATCGCTGCTCAGAAGTGAAGGCAGCTAAGACAATTACAACTCAGGCAGCAAGACACAAACTAGGAAGGGGGCTCCAAAATGTTCACGAGGGATTTTGTTCTTGCTTCATTACCTTCTGCCCCCCACCATCATCGAGTACTACAGTGGGCAGATACTGACTAAAATGCCTGAAGCATCAGCATCAAGTTTACCAAAGCAAGGAGAGAATCTGAGGGCTCCTATACACATTCAGGGAGGCTGCTCGAACATGCAGTAATTACAGAGCATCAAAGAAGACTCGATTAATTGATTCTGCCGGAGCATGGTAATTACTGTGCTCCAGCAGACTCCAGCATCACATGTATCAGTTTCCCCGTGCTGAAAAAGGTGGTGGGATGCTTTAAACTAAAACTCATTCAACCAGTTCAAAGTGCCCTGCTGCCCTTTTTAAAGTGCCCCTGCCTCCTGGAGCTCATCTATAAACATCCTGAATGTCCAATTTTTGAGACACTTTAAAGGTGCAGGTTTCTAGAAAGTGCTAAGCACTCACCTTTTAAAAAACAGGTTCCTTTAACTTTCCTCAGGTTGGACACCCAAAGGAAAAAAAAAACAAAACACTAACCACTAACACTAATGATGTGACCAGATCATACCTTCCACATGGTAATTAACAGGATTAAAAAAGTTATTGGCTGAATCCAGCCTCAAAGCCATTAGTAACCAGGTGCGTTAGTAACTTGTTAATGGGTTAGAGGTCTTTAATCTTTGGCTAAAGGTCACTTACGTTACAATTTGTGACCGGAACCCACTGTGAAGAGAGACAGAAAAAAAAAAAACACAGAAGGAAACTGATCAGGATAAACACAGGATGTGTTGTTCTTGGCACAGGGCTAATATGCTCAGGGAACAATTTGCTTTGAGAAGAGAGAGCATGCAGAAAAGCTTGCCGTGAAGTCTGTGTGTCTGTCACGTTCATTGCTACGTGATGTCCTAACAGATCAACTCTGGTCTGGAAGCAACTGCTGCTCAGAGGCAGAAAATCCCCAAGCTGATCTACAATGCACATCTGAATAAAGTCCTTTTCCCTAAACCAGAAATGTGAAGCTCAAGGGCCTGATCCCAGTTTGTTTGTACTCATGTTGACCTTGCCTCTTTCCACCCACTACCCTTCCTTGAGAAACTGGTGTAGGACATGAGCAGGAACAGTCATAGAAAAATAGGACTGCAAGGGCCCTCAGAAGGTCATCTAGTCCAATCCCATTCTCAACATTTGAGCATCCCTGGCTAAGAGAAGTGATTTCAGAGTTGTTGTACTAGTGATTTTGAAAGCAAGGTGACTGCAGGAGTAAAGGGGGGGGGGGTCATCAAAGAAACTGTCAGGAAAAGGAGATGTCAAAGAAGCTGTAAGCAGAGCATGCGTCTCACCCCCATTTTAAGGCCACCCTGAACATTCCCTGGGTTCAAATGTTTGATGCGAACTCTAACATTAAGTGCCACTCACGTAGAGAAATATAGAGAGACTGGAGGGAGGGGAGGTGTTAAAAAAAAAAAAACCCACCATCTACAGAACACGAATGCACGACATTCCTCTCAGCCCCTCCACAAATATAACAAAATGTGCCATTTAGAAACACCGTTTTCAAATCAACTCAGCTTTTGGGAAACCTCTGACCCCCGGTTTAAGTGAGAGAAGGAAACATTTTTGGAGGATTGTGAACTCCAAATAGTTTCCCATGGCTCCCAAAATGATTCAGGGGACTCCTAAAGCCTCAGGCTCCACCCAAATACAGATCAGCTGTTTCCACTGGCTTGGGATAGGAAACCTCAGTGCAAAATGCAATCTAGCAAGGCCTTCCCTACAGCAGCCTCTTCATTATCACCCAGTGTTGCTGTGGTGGTGAGCATCTTAGAAATAGCCAGGAAGCAGACAACAAAGGCAAAGGCCTGGCTGAACTTGATATAGGAAGCCTGGTAGAGGGATGACAGCAGTGCTGAGATGGCTGAGTGAAAGGGCTAGCAATGGCAAAGGGCGTGCATGGGGCGTTTCTTACTTTGGTCCACCACATTCTATTGCTGAGACCTTCACCACAGGCAGGATCTGCGAGGCCACAGGCTCTATGGTCAGCGTGTTCTGCTCTACGGCTGCCCGCACCAACTCAGACAGCTGCAGCAAAAGACAGAGAATAAGGACTAGGATCAGCATAGGTTACAGCCAGAGAGGAGGCAAATGCATCGCTGCTGAAATCCCAAGTTCTTGCTTCTGAGCCTGCACTCACCTCATGCCTGGTAAAGTCTAGACAGGGCTCCACGTCTTCTCGGTAAATCCTCTCCAGGAAGGAGCAGGCTTTATCCAGAGTTGGAGCCTCCTTCCAGACCTGGAACTCGGCAAACAGGATGGCGTCGACCTATAGCAGATGTTAGGGGAAGGAGGGGATGGGGAGCAGGGAGCCAGGGAGAAACACCACACACGAAAGCAGCCATTAATGAACAATACCCCCCAACCCTAACTACAAAGGCCACCTCAGGACCTAAGCGAGTCCAACAACACAGCGAGAACTGCAGAAAAAAAAGCAGGCTTGTCCTTTGGGGTTGCACTTTGCATCAGCCTGGAAGGAATACACCTTCCATCTCCTACCCAGGCCAGCTTGCCCATAGGATACCTATTTGGCCACATTAGGGTCACTCAGTCCCACAAGGGAACATGAGAGCAGCTCACTCCTACCCATCTGGGAGAAACAGCCACACAGTAGAAGAATTGGCATAATTCTCCTCCTGTCCCATGAAAGGGACAGCAGGGCTAGTCCATGGGTGAATGACCATGAAACCTTGGACTCGAAAGGCAGAATCACCTTCTCAGCCTAGAAGTGAATAATTATAGGAAAGGGGAAAAGTCAGGAAAAGCTTTTGTTCAATGACCTCCATCATCCCTATACCAAGCGAGTAGGGGCTGGCCCTTTGGGGAACCCCCAGGTAGCAAGGTGGGCTGGGCAGCAAGGTGAGCTGGCCCTTTAAAGATAGCCTTGACCCCAGAAGCTGATGCATTCTGGAAGCAGTGGTTTCCAGACGTGGCTGCAGCTGTAGGCAGCGGGGTATGCTGAAAGTGGAAAGCAGGGTTTAAAAAGCAGCCTTTGATCAGAACACAGATGAGACCACAGCTGCCATGGGTCTTTTTGCAGAGAACAAGCAGCTTTCCTGCTGCTTCCCTGAATGGGGGCCCAGGCCAGGACATTCTTTTCCCCCTATTCTTGCTCATTTCTGGAAGGAAGGCTGCTGCTTATATCCTGCTTTCCTGCCCTCTCCCATCACTCCCTACTCCAAAGGACCCCAGTCCTTGTCAGTCCTGGGAAGACTAACCCGTGGCTCCAGCAGAAAATAGGATGATACTGGGACTGCCTTAAAGGGCCAGCAGAGCCCATTATAGTCATTTAAAAGATGACGTTGTGGAAAAAAAAAAAAGAAAAGAAAGAAAGAAAGAAATACACAAGAATGAAAAATAAAAAGCCCAGCCTGAAGAGCATGTAAGTAAACAAAGCTGCCCAGACCCTAGGGAAAGGTCTGTGCTGAGAGTACAAGAGCGCTGGGCTATGGAGACTGCTCACCTGGTACCAGGAGACAACTTCAGAGCCACAATATGGAAAAACAATTAGAGAAACAAAACAAAAAATGGGTGTTAGTATCAGAGAGAGGACCAAAAGGCTGAAGGTGTGAGAGGCCAATAAATCCCACCCTCTCCTTGTCCTACCCTCTATACCATACCCATTCTAGCTTCAGAGTATTTACCTGCCACAAAGATGAGGATGATGAATCTGCTGCCAGGGACGGCCATCCAGGCTCATAGGTGATGTGGATAGCCTTCCCAGGGATGATACAAAGGAGCAGAGAGAGTAGAGCAGGCACCCCGGACTTTGAGAGCAAAGAGGAAAAGCGAGGTGGACAGACAGACAGACAAGGTGTGGGTTTAGAGGAACAGGCAGAAAAAGAAAGGTTATAACATGAGAGAGAAACAGAAGATATAGAAAAGCCCCCAGCCCTGTCTTTCAGGATACAGGAACTTCTGAAGAGATGACAGCATCCTCAGCACTGTGCTGATCATACCTTAAGTTTTCAGAAATGGCCAGAGATTTGGTATTCTATCATTTTCAGGCACCCAACTTCAGATGCCTGATTTTCACAAGTTGCTGAGCACCTGCCCTCAAATTCAGAATCTTTGAGGCAGTGGAGGACCAGAACCTGGTCTCAAGTCAGGTACCTAAAAATACCAGCATCCAAAAAAAAAAAAAAATTCAAATCGCTGGACACTTCTGAAAAAGGCCCCACTGTAGCTGCACTAAGGCAAACTCCTTGTGCAGACAGAACAAGCTGGAACAAGCATCCCAGGAAAGCTGTGACAGCTCCTCCACTGGTGGTTTCCAAGTAGCTGGATGAGCACCTGTCTGATTTAGGAACATTTTGGATACATGCAGGGTGTTGGACTAGATGTGATGTGTAGAATCCTAGAGGTCGAAAGGACCTCATCTGCACCCCTATCAGGGATATTACCTGAAGCCACTGCAGTTGTGCATAGACAGCAACATCAGAGATGTCAGCTCAGTCCTGTGTGGGGAGGATGTAACCCCCTCACTCTGGTCAAACTAAAGGCCTCACTGCTTGGCTGCCATTACTGGCAGAGTCAGAGGCCAAAGGATTCTCCACTCTGTAAGGCCATATCTGCATGGAAAACTTCCCTAGCCCAACAGTGATGTAGCCACATCTGTACAGCACCAAGCAGGCTATTTAGCACTGCTGGGGGATAGGTCTGACTCCTCACTGCAGCCCATGCTAATTAACCTGCTTTCAGCACCATGTGGATGCAATTGCAGTGTTTCTGATTTAGCAAGCAACTCACTAGGGGCACCATCACATCCGTGAGGGTGCCATTTCTAGGCACAACAACAAGTTTATTGTGCAGCCCTAGCCTAAGTCCTTCCACCTTGCAGCTATCTCAGCTCCTGGCAATCAGAGTACAGCACCAGCATCCCCTCCATTGCCAAAATATTTATGTTCTTCCTATCCAAATGCCAAAACAGGCTGCCACCTCCTTTTGAGCTCCCCTGCCAACAAAGCTTTACAAGACAGCCATGCCAACATGCTTGCATTGTGATACATGTGCACATCCCATTACACCTGCATTAGTAGAAAATGGACACAGGTAAGTTTTATTCAGATCCACATTTAGAGAGCAAGGGAAAAAGTCACAGAAGTTAAAAACAGAGGAAAACAACAGGGTTCAGTTGAGAGAATGCTCACAACTACTTTTTTCTATTTGATTGCCCAGCTCTAGCAACAATCTTCTTGTAATACAGACAAACTATACCTGCCCTGTAGGTGGGGAAACCAAGGCACAGAGAGGGAAAGTGATTTGCCCAAGGTTATATAGCAAGTCAGTGGCAGAGCCCAGACCCTGGCCTGCAGGAAGAGATTACAGGTGCCATCTCTCTCTGTGGGTGCTTGTGCTAATGTCTGAGCTGTGAAGAATTTTATCCATACGGCCCTCCAAAGACTCTCAGACTATTTCCAGAACTCAGACTGGGGTGAGACTCCCACAAGAGGAAGTTCCTCCACTCAGATTTTGGCAGGAAACCCACAGATCACAGCACGGCAGGATTTGGAGGACTCCAAACCACAAACTACACTCTCTCAAACTGCCTGGGTCATGTGCCCTAAGAAAGAAACCACAGGACAGGGGCAGGCCTGTAGGATCTGCAGAACCACAAGGAAAGCCCCTGACAAGATCCGTATACCAGTGTCCTGCCCCAACCCACAGGGCCAAGGCTTGACATAGTATCAACCCACCTCTTTGTACTCATGGTTGACTGGCTCCAAGAGCAGGCTCTGGCCAGTGGCTGTGCCTACAGCACTGCTGGTGCTCTTGTTCCGCCCATGGCCCTTCCGAAAAACAGCTTTGGTGGGGCTTTGGAGCTGAGGGTGCAGCTCCCGATTTGGAGAGGAAGGTGTAGATGTGATCACCAGTGTCTTCAGTGCCGTCACCTCTGCCTGCAGCATGTCAATCTGGGCCATGGAAGAGAAAGGAAAGTTATGGAGGCCATTCTCCATACCTACCACAGGACCTGCCACAGGGAATGCACATCCCAAAGGGACACTGGCACTACCCAGACCCAGGCCCAACCTAGGGCCTTCCTCCTGATCCCTCCAAAGCATCCAAGCAGCTCGCCCACTGCCACAGGACACCAAACCAGGGAGCTGCATCTATATGGAGCAGAGACAATTGCCATAGCCTGCTCTTCCTGCCCTAACTCCCCAACAAGCTGTGCAGGCAGGTTGCATCCAAGTTCTAGGGCCCAGAGGCTCTTTCCCCCTCACCCCATCCTGGATAAGGACCCACCAGCAGACATAGCTATGCAACCCTCTGGTGCAGCTTGACCAGGGAATCCCAGCCCCCAGCATTGCAGTGCCTCTGAGCAGTAGCTTGGCCCCAGCTCTGCCATGACGTAATGCTGCCAGTTAGTCCTGCCTGAGGGTGGGTGCAGGTGAACTCCTGGGTCCAGTTTCTAACAACAGTGGAGCTGGGCCTACTGCTGATTTCCAGGATCCCTCTCCCCATATTCCACATGTACTGTACAGGGAACAGGGTAACACTTAGTTCCAGAAGGGGATCAGATAGCATGAGACTCTGGCCTTTTTGTCCTCTTCCTGTCAACAGGTGCCACTGTGCCCAGACCAGACTAGATCAGGGTGGGCAGCGGGGGAAAAGAGGGATTCAGGAGCTGCAAGACCAACTTAAAGTTAGCCAGTGATATACCGTGGGTCTCTGGCACTCGGGGACCAATGCTTGCATTTGCACGCCCCCCCTTCTCATAGCAATGCTTAAAGTCACATTGCATGATAAGAACTCCGAAGAGCCATGGCCTCCTCCCGCCCCCGCCCGTTGGTCCGCCATTGGAGTTAGCCCCATCCTCACCTTTCCTCGCGCCTCCCTCAGCTGTTTCTCCGATGCTGCCTGCTTCGTGTTTGCTTCTCTCACCATCTTGTGCGCTTCCTGCAGCAGAGACAGCGTGTCACACTCTGCCCATCCCAGCCAGGGTGATGCACTTAAGAGAGCAGAGCACAGCACAGCCCGGGCAGGACAGACTCCAAGAACCATGCTCCACCCATAAATATATACCACTGGCAGTTGAACCTGTCACTTCACCATTGCTTCCCAGATGTGTAAGTGCCACTCAGCAGTTTTCCTGCCCCCCGTAAGAACCATGGTGCCTTCCCCATGCACCCCAAAAGAGCATCCCTAGGCTCTCCCTGGAGCAGGGCCTACGTCTCAGAGACAGAGTACAACCCTTTTCACCCTCATTGTCCAGTGTTGGCCGTTTAGGTGTCCACTGCTGCTGGAAGCCAGGACTTGACTAGCCTGCAAAATCACTGTGCCCATGTTACAAGGATAAAGTCCCTGTCTCCAGTGGGGTGCAGAATGGCTCCCATGATTCACCAGGCACACCATGGTGGTAGCGCTGGCATCCAGGGCAGCTGGAAAAGATGCAGGCAGCCTGGAGAATTGTGCTAACAGGGAACAGGTTACAGCAGAAGAGAAGGCCGGGCTGAGCCAGGGGCAGAGTAAAGGGCTAACCTGCCTGGCCAGAAGCAACACCATCTGCCAAATAAAGGCATCATATGTGCACCAGCTACTGGAGGCGGGCAGAGATCCATGCTCTTCCTGTGGACATGTTCTGCCACCACTGCTGGAGCAACTGGAGCAAAGTGGAGGGGCAGGGAAGCAAACAGACTGTTTCCCAAATTGGCCCCTCCACACTGGGAGCACAGCAGCTGCCCTCTGTCAGGCTCTGCCCTTGGCATCAGCAGTCCCTGCTGCGTGTAACAGGACAAGCTGGCAGCATTTGAAGAGAACTACAGGAAAGGATCCAGCGAGACAATCCAAGGTGTGGAGGGAACCTGTCCAATGGGAGACAGAGAATGACCCTGGGTCAGGGAAGGGGCAGAGAGGCGAGCAGTACCTCAAACAGACTGGCCGTCAGCTCCTCCAGCTCCTGCTCCAGCTGCTCCCTGACCTTTGACAGCCTCTCACATTCCTCATCCTTCAGCTTCAGCTCCTGCAGAGGGGAAGACGGGGGACTTGGGTTGGACAGGGGTGCGTGCCAGTGCACTTTTCCCCCATACCTTCCCCACAGGCCTTGCTCTCTCCCAAGGTGCCTAGCTGCCCCTCCAACCCAGTTGTCTCCCTCCCAATGTTGCATCCCAGCCTCCAGCCACCTCTATGCAGACTCCAGCTCCCCACTCCCCTCCCTAATCACTCCACTGCATGTGTCACCAACTCATCTGAGGCACATTTCCACCATCAAAAGCATGGAAACTTTAGCCTCCCAGCTCTCAAAATCACAACAAACACCATCTCCCAAGAATATCAGGCTCAGCCCCAGCTCTACGAGCGCTCTTGGGCTCACAAAGCCCAATGTCTTCAGAGCAGTGGTGCTCAACCAGGGGCTGGATCTTGCTGGTGGTCCGCATCTGGAGTAGGCCTGGCAGAGTCCCATCCAGCCATGTAGAGGGGGGCAAGGGCAGCCCAGTGCCAACCCGCCATGCAGGAGGAAGGGGGGTTGACCCAGCCCTGCAGGGGGAAGGGGGTGCCGTCCAGCTCCAACTCCACTAGCAGAGGGAAGGGGGTATAGCCTGACTCCGACCCACCATGAGCCCTGGGGTTTGGAAATTCAGTAATGGGAGACAGTGGCCATATTAACTGCCATCACTCCTCCTTTGCCATATTTCTTGATCCATGGGGAGTCTCACGGGGCAGATGCCATGGCTCCATGGGCCGTATTTGGCTCACAGGGGGGAAGTTGAGCTTTACAGTTCAGAGCTTTACCTTCTGTGCTTTGTGGAGCTCCTCCTTTAGGAACTCAGACCCCTTTTCCCGGATCTCCACCGAGGAGCTGCGCAGACGGGAGACATTGAGCTGAGCAGTGAACTGAGTCTCATCCCCTCCTCCAGCATCCAGGCAGCAAGGCTTTGACTCCAGCAGCTCCTTTCCACCTTTGGAAAGCACTGGTGGCTTCCACTGCCCCACCACTTGCTGTTTCTGGCCGCCTTCCTCAAACTGGGCCTGGCTGCAGGACACAAGCATATTCAAACATGAAATGTATCCTGGGAAAGGCAGCACATGGTCTGTGCAGGTCAGGGATTCAGGGCACAGACAGACAGCAGAACCAGGAACTGAGCAGATCGCTGCCTCATTTGTGAGCCAGATTTCTGCTACACCCCTCTGGTATGCATCCTGATACCAGGTGACATAGAGAGATGCTGCTCATACCACTAAGGATAACCATGTTCCAGGCAAACATGTGTAACTTGGAGAAGCTGAGGGAAGCTTCATACCAGGAGGTGAAGCTAACTAAGACAGAGGCAGAGGATCAGCTTAAAAGACAGAAATACTGCAGACTGACTTGGCCTCCAGCAAAATTTACAGGCAGGCTGAAATATGTCACGGTCTCAGTGTCCCACGCCAATGCCCCATGCACTGCAAGGCCCTCCTCTGGCTTGCCTGCCCACGAAGGAACACCACAGTGCTGGGCTGAGTGAGGCAGCTGGAAACTAAAGGTTTTTTACACATAAGCAACTTACTGCCTCTCCAGGCACAGTATAGCCATGCAGGGGGCTAAACAGGCACACGGCAAGAGGCTGACACTGCATTAAGGGAGCTTCAGCTCACAGCACACAAGAGCATGAGCTCCAAGCCAAAGGAAGCTGTATGAAGGTGACAGCTCAGAGGCTGAGTCTCCAACTCCAGATGCTGAAGCATGAACCCTCATCCAGCCTGCACCCTCCAGATCTGGGACTAGAAATGGGAGGCCAGCCACAGCTCCTTCTCTCACCAACCCAGCGTGCCTGCTCCCTCACTGAAAGAGGCTTTCCAAGGAGTGGAAGGAGATGCAAGGGACAGGACTGGCTCACAGGAGATGCTAGGCACTAGGCCCTCTTTCTTTCCCTTCCCCCATCTCACCTTTGGCTGGGTCCTCTCTGAAGCCCAGCAGAGGCCCTTCTAGGAAGGGAAAGCCCTAAACAAGCCATTTCCTCACATTCAGCTCTTCAAACACAGACTGCACAGAGTCCCCAGTGGCAGGCTGGGCCAGGAAGCTCCTTACAAGGTTACTGTCCAAAAGCCATTAGGGAAAGGGGGGTGGGGGGAGTAGAGAGGGGTGGCAGCTGCCACTTCACCCCATGTATTTCTGCTGTTATGCAGCTCCCAACCATCCCAGGAGAGAGCTGAACCGTCCCAGGAGAGAACACAACTCCCACTCCTCATTGTGACAGCAACCTCTCCACCTAGACTTGGCCCAACCAGGTTCTGTGGGGAGCCTAGGAGTTGGGGAAAAGGGATGCTACATGTATTAGCAAGACAACCACCACCAGGGCCTAGGGCTGACACAAAACTCCCAGCTGGGTCTTGGTGCTAAAAATGACACTCATCAGGGATCGTGGTTTTCTCCAATTTAAAAAAATCCTCAATTTTTGGATTAAAAAAGTAACCCCAAACCCACATTTTTTCCTGATTAAAATTAAATGCCACCAATATATATACTGGGGGGGAAATCCCCAATTTTCAGATTAAAAAAAGTAACCCCAAATCCACATATTTACATCATGTATTAGTGGCATTTCATTTTAACCACAGAAAAATGTGGATTTGGGGTTATTTTTTTTAATCTGAAGATTGGGGATTTTTTTAAAATCAGAGAAAACCAGGATCCCTGCTTATCATCACCTTATGAAGGGCAAAACAGCTGTGTAGGCAAAGCTCAGGGCTGGGACCCGTGGGTTCTAATCCAGGACCCATCACTGCCAAACCATGTGGCTTTGGACACATCATGTCACCCCTGGGTGCTACAGGTTCTGTACCTTCAAATTGCAGATGGTATTTCTCCAGCTCACAGGAATCTTGCAAGAATTATCAACCCATTTATGCCTGCAAAATACTCTGAGGCTTGAGCTGGAAGGGGTTCTGTAAGTGCAAAGGACTATTGTGACTGCTACTAGGCAAAAGAACTAACCAGTGCCTGAAACAGTTACATGCAATAAGAACTGGGAAGAGCTATTTGTCCAGAGTATCTGTGTGCATGTGATATTCTGCTTGAACTGCACTGCCTGTAATTTTAAGATGCTCCCTGTTTGCATTGTGTTGTCTTTTTCAGTTTGCCAAGTGTCAAGCAAATGGCCACCACGAAATATATTTACACAAGAACCTCTCTTCACACCCTACAAAGTGCTTTACAAACCACAGACACAGGGGATTCCATTTCTCCTGGAATCTCACTGCCGAGATGCAGTCACCTCTGGGTCTGGGGACCACTTCAACCCCAGCAGCTGCATGACAGTGCAGCAATGGGGAGCAGAGAATTTTAGCTATGGAGTAAATCCTTTTCTCTTCTAACTAGAGGTGCACTGACATATCGGTTGTATATCAGATGAGCACCAATAAAAGGAAAATTAACATTATCGGCTATCGGCTTTTTTTGGCTATTGTAGTTGATATTGTTTTCTGATAATTAATTATGCTGGGGCCCCTGGACTCCTGGGTTCCCTTTTGCCCACAGGGCTGGGGCCCCTCGACTCCTGGGTTTCCTCCTGTGAGCCAGGATGACCCCAGATACACCCCATCCCCAAACTGGCGGGCTTGGCTGGAGCAGAGCAGCTGCTGTGGTGCCTGGTGCAGACTATGGGTTGGGGCCAGGGTGGGCGCTGTAAAAGGCAACTGAAAGCCACAGATGTGACTGGGGCAGGGAGGGACAGTCGGAGCTGAGCTCCCCAGCCGTCAGGCCCAGCCTGACTTAACCTGGAGTTCCTGGGGGTCCGTGACCCAGGGGCTGGAGCAGCCACTCCCCCCACTGTGTGCAGCAGGGTCCTTCCTCCAGCAGGAAGGAAGACTCCAGGAAGTAGTGGGGCAGTGCTTTAATTAGAGCAGCTTCCAGAGCCACCTAGCTCTGGGCAGCCTTGTGCTCAGGCAGCTGCCCCCAGGCTGGAGTTGGAGGGAAAGAGCTGCAAGTGGCATAGGGCGCTTTTACATGTGCTCTGGGAGTCTGGGGTGGGGAGGGGGGAGAGCAGGATAGCACTTTAATTACAGTGGGTCCGAAAGCAGCTCTAATTGAAGTACCGCATGTCTGCTGCCTCAGCGTCCCCATGCTTAGAAATGGCAATGGGGGCACTTGAACTAAAGCTTGTTCAACAATTACTAAATACCGGTTATCGCAGGGGTTTTAAACCTTTTTGGATCATTGTACCCTCAGTAGGCAAACACGGAGCAGTGTACCCTCCGCAGCTGGATGTAGAACGGGGAGGGGTTGGGGTGGGGGGTGGTGTGCAGTTGGACATCAACTGGGGTGGAAGGAAGCACCAAGTCCGAGTCCAGCTGAGTGGGCAGCACGGGATGATGTGTGGTAGTGCTCCATCCCTGCCTGCCCGTGCATACCCCCTAGGGCCTTCTCAAGTACCCCCGGGGGGTACAGGTACCCTCAGTTGACAACCCCCAAGTTATCAATATCAGCTGATGTGGCTGGTTAATTGGCTATCAATACCAGCCAAGAAAATCTTTACTGCTGCACCCCTACTTGTGACAAATGCCCCCAGATCTTGTTGGCCCATGCAGAATATACAGGCCCTCAGGGAGCAGTAAGCAGTAATTCTGGGTGCTCAGCCTCAGACATTTTAAAAAAGGCCTTGTGCTCAGAGGGTGGGTACTCATGGAAATCTACCCACTTTGACTTCAATGCCCCAGTCACTTTTCAAAGTCATGGCCCTGCTGTTTCAGGTCTCATCTGAAAGGCCCTTGACACACATGCAGCACACTCAGCAGAATTCAGTTCGTCTCATTTAGCAGCATGACAGCCAAGGCTGACTGCAGCACGACTTAAACCCATTACTCAGGGGCTGAGGGGAATCAGAGAAGCGGAGGAGGAAACTGACAGA